TGAGAATACATAGCAATGCTGACGCTAGCTAAAAAACTACTGAATAAACCATTATTGTACAATGATAAAGAGAGCTATTACTGAAAGTTTTAGCTAGAAGCCTTCATATCCATTGAAATCCATTACATATTTTTACAATTTCTGTTTTTTTCCCCCCGCCAAAGTTCTGTTCTCTATTGTAATTTTTTCTCGATTTCGTTTTAATGGTTTATTCAAATTTTAATAATAAAAAGGATGTCTGATAAATGTATTACTTTAATTCATTCATTTATTCATCTTAATAATAGTGCCCTAGTGTTTAATGCTTTTCAGGACATTTTCTGGGTTCTTTATGATTCAATACAAATTTATTATAAAAAATGGTGGTAATCAAATGTGTAAAACAATTTAATCCTTTAAAATGTAATGAAATGAAATTTCAACAGCACCATGCTGAAGCAACGAAGCTGCGGCGCTCATCCACACAGAAAACGCATACTTCCTATTAAATTAGCAAGGTTTTTTTTTTTTTTTTGGTTTATTATTCACAGACACTAGTCCATCATCACAATTCGATTAAGTGTACTGACCTACCTTTGATTTATTCATCCAAAATTGGCCAAGGTTCAAAGTAGTAAGACGTAACGATCCTTAATTTGCTGAAATCGAGTTTGAATCAAGCTCTGAACTGCTAGATTCGAAACTAAAGATTTGTAAACGTTTTGAAGCTTCATGAAGCCATTTCAAAAACACTAATAAGTACACCATTCTGCAAGCATTCAAAAGTAGCCATCACTTATTGACTTAACTGTGCTTAATTATATGCTAACTTTATGCAACTTGCATTTAGATGAGTGGGGATGCTGACAGATTATTCCAGGTATTCCAGCTTCACAGCTAAACAAAAACTGGCTGCACTCTTAAAAATAAAACTTCCATGAGGGGGATTTCACAGAGATACCATAGCTAGAAGAACCATTTTTGGTTCCCCAAAGAACATTTCAGTGTACAGTTCTTAAAAGAAACAACATTTAAATAATCTAAAGACCCTTTTCCACTATAAAGAACCTTTTGTGGAATGGAGAGGTTCCGTAGAAGTTAAAGGTTCTTCATGGAACTAAAGATGCCAATAAAGAACCTTTATTTTTAAGAGTTTAGTCCAACTTTAAGTGCTAAGGGCACATTTTAGCAAACACCATAAGACTGTGTAGTTTGTTTAATTTCCTTCAGTCTGTCTTTTTCATACCCCGCAGGAATCTTCAATGACACAGAAGAGAGCATTGTGTGCCAAGCGTTCAAGAAATGGTGTGATGAACAGTGAAACCACCATGAAACCAGAATAACACACCACAGGAAATGTTGAGTCTGATTATATTCCTGAACCAAGAAAAACATCTGTGCTGCAAAAAGAAACACATCAAATCATGAATGAAAACCTCCAGAAATTGTGAAAACCACTCAGTTTTATTTCAATGTCTGTAACATTTTCATTCCCAATACACTTGACAAGCTTTAAAACCCAACAATGAAATGCTACTTTCCTCATAAAGCTCACATAAAGAGTAAAAGGTGACTTTACCAACAGGTTTAAAGTGGGCTGGCTTCCAGCACTGAATTCATAGGAAATGAATGCTTTATAAAGAAATTCAACAACAACAAAAAAATCAACATTACAAGCTATCTTAAGTCCTTTCTTAAATAATGTTTGGTTAAGCTTCAAAAACATAAAACAAAAGTATATTAACAAAACGAAAACCATCTCTAGCCAAGACACTTCTATAAAAGACAGACTGTCTTTGTTATTAAAAGGCGTTTGGTTGAAGTTCCACGGAAGCCTGTTTTGAAGGCACCTTTCATTGATGTCACTGATACATATGCATTCATACAGGAGCCTTGTGCTTTACCTGTTACCTGATTGTCTAAATTATTGCTCAGAAAAAAAATTACAACAGCCAGTTTTGCTATAAATCCACAACGAGATACATAACAGTTTCACTGCATATTTAGACTCCACTTGGAATTTGGCAACATTTTAGTAGTCAACACTGCGTAACATCACATTCAGAGGACGACTTTCAGTAGTTTGTCTATAGGGGAAGGAGATTATGTAATACACTATTCTTGAAAGTTTTGTAGTGCTTCAAGACACCAGCTTTAAACCAGAATAAAATACAATCTTGATCAAACCCTGCGGGTCATTATTAACTAGGTTTGGTGGTCCTACTGAGAGATCATCCCCTCTACTTCACCCGAGGACCGAACCGGTTAGGTTCCACAGTCTAAGACTAAGTCTAAAATCACAAATATAGAATAGAACATTTCATTTAAAGGAATAGTTCACACAAAATTGAAAATTAGGAACATCGTCGTCTTACTCTCACGTAGCTCTAAACATTTTTTATAACATATACATTTTTACAAATTTTGTTTTTTTTTGTTTTTTTGTCCTTTTTGGAAATTGGCAGTCCCTGTGGAAGCCTGTTTCAGCATGGAATAAAAATAAATAGGTAATTGTGACTTTCTCGCAATTCAGACCCCCCCTCAGAATTACAAAAAATAAAATAAAAAGTAAAAAAAAAAAAATGTTAAAAAGTAAAAAAAATAAGTTATTTTTAATTTTGTGGCAGAAACAAACAAACTGAATTACAAGATGTAAACTCACAAAACTGAGAACAAAAGTCCAAATTGTAAGATAAAATGTTGCAATTATTGAATTATTTGCAATTATTTTTGCAATTGCAATTTATTTTTAACTATTTTTTATTCGGGAACAAAAACAGAAATGAAAGACAAACTCTTAATTCTGAGACGCAAACTCAGAATTGTGAGATATAAACTCGCAATTAACTTTTTTATTTTTTAGTCTGTTGCGAAAAAAACTAAAACTTTTCTGCGAGATGTAAATTTGAAATTACAAGAAAAAATTTTTAGTTCTAAGTTTATATTTTGCATTTCTAACCATTTTTTTCTAAAAATTATGAGTTTATATCTAACAGTTATGCTTCTTTCTGATCTCAGAATTGCAAGAAAACAAGTTAGAATAGTGGGAAATGAAGTTACGTTTTTAATTATTATTTTTTATTTTGTGGTGGAAACAGGCATCCATAAGTCCCAGTCCCCATTCACTTTCAATGTATGGAAAAGAACAGCATGAATTCTCTGCTAAATATCTCTTTCTGTGTTCCACCATAGAAATAAAGTCATTCATGTTTGGAACTACATAAGGATGAGTGACTGATGACAGAAAGTTTTGGGTGAACTATTGCTTTAAGTGACAGATTTGTATTGTAAGGCACTTTACAGTGGTCTGACTATGTTACCTATGCTAAAAACACTTACAACATCTTTCCATTGATTTCTCAACTGAAAGTTACCTTTGCATAGTTCTATAAAACAACACATAACAGTTGCACCTACATGATCAAAATAGTGGCACAAATTGGATGCTACTCAAAGGCAAACATCAGTACATCTGAGTTGAGCACAGTAGAAATATACAGTAACAGTACAGCTTATTATTACAAACATAGTCAGTCATTTTACACCATGTAAGAATTAAAAAACCCAAGTGTTAGAATAAAATATGTCTTTTTTTTAATCTTCAACATATTATCATTCTTCCAGTTTTTTTGCCATCAATATATAAAAAATCCCAGATCTTTCTCTTTAATATTTTTTATTAAAAAAAAAAAGATCTGGGACAGTGTAATTAAAATGTATGGCATATTAAAACAGAAATGAATCAAAAAGGGTAATAAATTGGAATTTGAAGTTTGAATTATTATATGACTATTCTTTAGTCATCAAATATGTGTTAAGAAATGATTTCACATTCTTATGGATTATTTCAAGCTATGCACTGTGTTAAAATGCATCCTCAGGGTATCTTAAAAAATGCATGAGGTGAAATACATTTGCATAACTATACAGGCACTGCATATGACCACAAGAAGAGTTTTTGAAGGCTTTCAGCAGAGTTAAAACTGAATATTGCTTATTGCTTGGCACATTCCACAGGACATCTGAATGCTGTGTGCAAACTGTCCTTCCACATGTGCATTTCTTCAGCCTCTGGGTCTAAAGAGTATTCCACAAATCCACTGCGCTACGTGAAATTCTCCTGGACCAGAAACATTAATACTGAGAGAATATTGCCATTGATTAATAATGGAATTAAATAATTTAGGGTCAGCTGTTTCAGATCAGCCTCATAGCAAACATACTTTGTCCATCTATTGGTTGTGTGCGTTTTCATCTGAAAGATACGATTTGTAGAGCATTTGCTCAAAAGTTTCCTTAACAATCAACAGAAATGTTCACAACATTTATGAATTAGTTATGATTAATGTAGCTATGCTAAGGGAGCATTTCACCCAAAAATGAAAAAAAAAAAAAAATGTTCTTTTACATTTTACTTTTTACAATGAGAAACCATATAAACTTTCATTTGGCCCCTTCATTCAAGTGCTTGTTTCACGCATGCTCATATCAGCGGCTCATCGGTCCGATTGATTGATTCAAGATTGAATTCAAGAATTCAAGAATTCAAGATTGATTGAACTGTTGGAGGAACTGGAGCACTGAATCAGTTCATTCATCATAGATACGCGCTGCTATTTTGGCTCATTTCGAGTCGGAGTGACTGTTGGACATTTGAAAGTGAGTTTTGATTGAGTAACTTGTAAATCTGTGCTGCTTGAGCCATGAACTGTTTTAGACGGTTCAGTCTGATTTGGTGAATTGGTTCAACTAGTTCACTAAAAAGAATCAGTTCAAAATAATGATTCATTCACGAACCGAACATCACAGACTGATCGTTTCGCTTCATAAGACCTCAATATATCGTCAGGAGCCATGGGTATTAATTTTGTGTTGCCTGATACGCTTTTTCGACTTTCAAAGTGACGGTAGCCTTTGACTTGAATTTTATGAATCACCAAGGACCACGGTTTCCGCTAAAAATCTTCTTTACTGTTCTACTGAAGAAAAAAGTCACCTACATATTGGATGACCTGAGCAGATTTTCATTTTTGGGTGAACTATCCCTTTAAACATCAACTGTCTGTCACTTAATATCTACACGTTAAATGGAAAGCATTGTGCTTAAGCCATTCGTTTACAAGGATATATAAAAAAAGAGAAATATTCTTCTAAACTGTGTGCAAACACGCTACTGTACAACCAAAGAAATTACCTTTCAAGTGCACTGTTATATTATCCCAAAGTTGATTAAATTGTACTCTAATACACCTATGAGAAGTTACACAAATCAATCTTTTTACGATACTGACCTTGATTATTTTGATATTATTATAACACAGTGAAATTTGGGTAGACGAAACTGGAATAAGGTTAAAATACGATAAAATAAAACGAGTGTAAACATAAAAATAATATTATTTTGCACTTGACAAAACAGGCCGTGCTTCTTCCTTAGCAGTCAATGGTGCTACCGGAAAAACGTGACAATGACCAGCGGCCCTGAACAGCCAAACGAAGGATTCCTTGCACTAACAAACATGCTCGTTCTCCTCCATGTTCACGCTGTCCTTACAGCTGCTTTCGTTCGAGGCTCCGGACGAGATGGAGGTGAGGAGTGGGTCGCTCGTTGCTACAGATGACAATGTGTCATCCATCAGGATGTCGTCGAGTTTAGCGCCATATGCCTCTGAAACAAGACCATAAGCATCGGTGGAATTGCTAGAGTCGTTAAAGGTGATTGTGCTGTCGTTTAGGTCTAGGGTGCTGGAGCGGCAGGACGGGTGTACGTGAGGGTACATGTCCCGGGAGCAGTCGCCCAGGACCGGCTCCTGTTTGATGGGCCGGGCTGCTAGCTCTGATGAGCAGAGTGTAGACGAGACGACGGCCAGTCCATGAGCACGAGCCTGGATTTCCAGCTCCTGGATTAGCATTCAACCGATAGACAACAAAGCAATAACTGAAACATATACTGTATGAACCTACAAATTGCCACTTTTCTGGATGTATCTAGATTCAAATATATCATTTAAATCTAGAAAATTTAAAAAAATATATAAATTAATAAAATGATTAAATATTTAAAATATAACACTAAGGGCCAGTTTTACTAGCAGCTTGCGCCAGCGCAAACCGTCTTTTGGCGTTAAAATTGTACTGTCAGGATTTACTAAAGACGCGCAGTGACGAATTAGCGCTGAAAAGGCGTGGACACAGTTATTTTTGCACTTGACCTGATTGAATATGCATTTCTAGGAGTTTCCCTTTCAGACGCAAAATTTATGGGAGGAGAGTATTCAAATGAATCACGCAACGTGTTTTACTAATGTTTGCGCACGTCAATATATTGCTGCGCTTAATATATTGCGTCGGTCGATATGTAAATGAGATGTTGCGTCTGTGTTCTTTAATTTGCACGTTGTTAGTAAATCACCTGCAGAAATTTCCCCTCCCATCGGCGCTGTTTTGGAATTGCGCTCTCGCACTAATTTGCCCTGTTTAGTAAAACTGGCCTTTAATTAAATATAAACATTAAAATATAGAACAAACTACGACCAAAAGTGAACAAAAGTGACCCTCAGTCCTAAATATGTGGTTAGAGAACAAATTATTTTGTGTTACTAAACCAAAGCACTGCATTATTTCAAGTTCAAGCCCATCACAGTGAGTTTGGAATTCATATACTTATCTATTAAAGTAAACAATAACAATACCTGTATAATATCTGTAGTACATTTTTGCAGTTTTACTAAGCTGGTGTGCCTTTGGTGTCAGACATAATTGAAAGAATGAATATGTTTTGGATTGAAGGTCATTGCAAAAATGTCTAATATTGATGGCTAATACAAATTGGCTAATTATCCTTGTGCCTTTTTAAAATAATGATAAATCATTTATAATAAACAATGCAACATTCCATAATGAAATGAGAATTTCAATTCAAGGTGACTTTTAAGTGTTTTTAACATCATCTTTTTTTACAAGTGATTCTTAGAAGAAAATGCTTTTTGAACATTTCTTTTCTTCAATATTTAGTTCTAGTCATTGAAATTTACCCTTGTGAAAAAGAAACACACTTAACTGTACTTAATGTGCACTTAAATCTTAAAAGTATAATTTAAAAAATACTTGTAGATAATTTAATATTAATGAAATAAAACGCCACTTAAGTGTTTCTTAATACACTTAAGTACACTGAATTTCTTTCTTATGTTAAACACAAAAGAAGATATTTTGAAGATAACACATTATTTATACCCATTGACTTCAATAGTATGGGGAAAAAACTATGAAAGTCAACGGCTTAACTGTTTGGTTACAAACATTCCTCAAAATATCTTCTTTTGTGTTCAACAGCTGAAAGAAACTCATACAGGTTTGGAACAACTTGAGAGTTAGTAAATGATGACAGGATTTCGTTTTTTTGTGTGAACTGGCCCTTAAGTCTATTCTATTAATCTGGGCCTCTTCGGTCACTTTTGACTGAAAAAAATGGACATTTTGAAATTTAAAAAATTGTCCTACTTCATTGGAATGAGATGACTGTTGTTGCATTAGCTATGTGAACACACAACAATGATCATGGACATGATTTGAATATCTTAAAAGGCTGAAAACTAAAAAAAGTAACACTTGGTACCTTTACGGTCAAAAATGACCATGGAAAAAATAGTAGCTATACAAATAAATTGTATAAATATTGTGTAGTATCATAAAATCCCCTCAAAATTCTAAATAATAATAAAAAAAATATTATTGAAAAAAAAAAATATTACATTGATTTTACTGAAGAGAAAAAAGAAGTTACATTTCAAGGCTTTCGTCACTTTTGAAGTGTGACCCAAAAAAGAGACCCAGAGGGTTAAAGTGCATTTTTTCCCCATAATACATGTGCTAAAGTTCACTTCTTTTTCATAAGGGTAATTTTGGACAGCGTACTATTTCTGTATGCCATTCCACTGTATGCTACAGTTGTATTTTATAGTTACGTATTGATGTGTCAGAACTGACCTGTATCCTGAGCATCAGGTGGCGGTTGGCGTGTTCCAGCTTCTTCTGACGGTTCTCCAGCTCTTTGGCACGCTGCTGCTCTCTATGAAGTTTCCTGATGTAATCCACAGAGGCCTTCAGAATAGTGCCCTTGTTCCAGCGCATGTCCCTGAGCAACACACACAAGCAGCTGACACCAGCACATCTGATAGACCCTCTATCAACAGCACTAGCCTCTGCTGTGATAATAGCATGTATTCATCTGCTTCATGTGTAAGTGTGTATTTACTGAACACTGCGGTGCTTACGGATCATTTGATTTAGGAATCAGAGTCCCCAGTTCTTTGATTCGATCGTTAATGTTGAATCTCCGTCGTCTCTCAACTGAAACAGATGAAAAATGCGTGTTATATTACACACTTGTATTTAAAAACTCAAACAAACTCAATTCACTTACACCCAAAGTCTATGGGACAAAGACTATAACTTAATTATGTAATTTTTACAAACTGAGGGATGAATGAAAATGGTTTTCTTTTGTAAAACTGGAACAGTGTTTCAGGATGCTACCCTACATACAAAAGCAAACTCACTTAAGTTATGGTTGTTCTTTTTTTGCCTTTCCTTTGCGAGAGTGTGAACTTCTGCCTCTGAAAAAGATAAAGGAGTGTGAGAAGAGAAACTGAAAGCAGGACGCTTATCTGCCATATGTTTTGGCACCCTTTAAATGTCACTGCAGTTGTCTTATAGCACATTTTCTCTCACCAAAATCCCTTTTCCACAAAATGTTCTGTATAGATTATGACCAACAGTTTTTTTTTATGCATAAAGTACCCAGACAACCTGCTACATTTGCCATAATATATACAGTATACAATAAATCACTGCATGGAAAACTGTATCCCACAATGCAATGTTTTGCCTAGTTTTACATAAAATCAGACCAAAAAATGCAAAATAACTATTTATTTCCAAGATGATGGTTGCCACTTACATACAACTTTACGAGGTCCCATGAAAATGTAAAAATGAAATGTTCATTCTGGAATAATACCTACTGTTTTACATACTACTTTTTAAAAAAGTATGCGATGCGATGGCGCCGCAGACGGCAGCCTCAGTGTTTGGCTCTCCAGTGTTTGTACTGTTTTTGTTAGTTTTTCCTGTTTTTTGTTTCTCAAACACGATCAGTTTTACCAGGGATGAGCTGCTGAACATTCGGCAGAACACACCACACAATCTTCTACCGGATTTCGTTTATTCGGACGTTTTGCTGAACGTTGTACTTGGCGGAGCAGCTGCGCTGATCAAGAGCTTCAGGACGCGCAGACAGGGGAAGAGAGCCGGCGTGCTCGTGAAGCTCAGGAAGCGCGGACTCTGAACGGCGTTGCCTAGCATCCATCTGGCGAATCTCCGCTGTTCATGGCAAGAGCGAAAAGAATAACAGAGATGGTACAGCCTGTTATTATTCCTTTCCCAATACGATGCCAGTCTGATGTTTCTGACCCTGAAGTGACCCGCATCCTAAAATTATTGTAGTAATCTAGGATCAGGTCCTTAATCTTACTGGGAACATGATGGAGGTGTAGAGCGAGCTCGACTAGCTTGTGCGGTATGGACCCATAGGCATTCGCCAGGTCCAACCACAAAACAACTAGTGTATTTTATTCACATTTTATTTTTATTATCTGTGTGTTGTTGTTGTCTCCGTGTACTGGAAGCTTGTGACACTATAACAAATTCCTTGTATGTGCAAACATACTTGGCAATAAAGCTCTTTCTGATTCTGATTCTGATTCTGAAAATAGTAGCCAGCATGTAGTGTACACTACACAGTATTTTTTTAGCAGTAAGCTAGTATTTAACTCTAAACATGACTGAACTTGAATGGAACCCAATTTTATATAACAATTTAACAATTCTATATAACAGTAGATACACTCAGTACCATTCAAAAGTTTGAGTTTAGTAAGTTTTTTTTAAATACATTATTCAACAAGTATGAAAGCTTGTTTCTGCCACTGAATGAAAAATAAAAAATGTAGTTACAACTTCTCACAATTTTGACTTTTTTCTCAGAATTGCAAGACATAAACTCGCAAATGCGTGTTAAAAATGTTGAATTGTGTGATGCAAAGTCGCAATTGTGAGTTATAAAGTCAGAATTGTGAGCAAATTTTTCTCCCTTAGAATTTATAACTCACAACTGGAGTTTATATCTCACAATTCTGAGAAAAAAAAGTCAAGATATAAACTAAGAACTCTGCCTTTTTTCTCACAATTTCGAATTCACATCTCACAATTCTGAATTTGTATCTTGAAATTCTGACTTTTTTTGTCTCAGAATTGCGAAAAAAAGTACAAATTGTGATATATAAACTCAAGAAGAAAAATCAACACTGATAATACTCAGAAACAATAATAATAATCAGAAATATTTCTTGAGCAGCAAATCAGCATATTAGAATGACTTCTGAAGGATCGTGTGACACTGAAGTGTGTAAAAAGTTTATATATAAACTAATGTGCCAGTATGGGTAAATCTAATCCATAAAACAATTTTAATCCATAAAATGATTATGTTTCTGTTTTGTTAACGGACATGCAGACAAGGAGAGAAATCTTCGAACGTACCCACAGGAAACCCTTCAGGCCTTTGATAGCTCTCAAACTTGCTACAGGAGCTGGGCTTGTCCATCATGTGCATCATGGCTGGAGATGGAGTAACTATGTAGCATACGAGCATATGTTTTCTCATATCATTTCATATCATTTCTCACTCATATCATCATTCACATGACATTTAAAAGGTGAAACACATTTCAGTACATCGCCAAAAGGCCTGGGAGGGTCTTAGATGCTACAAAACTGCATTAACTAATTCATATGACACTTACCAGAGAATTCCCTTTTAATGTTGGACAGGTTAGCAGGGCACGAGTTACTGATAGAGATTCCCGGAGGAGGCATGCCTGGGTTACTATACATGTCCAAGAGTAACTATGTAGCATACGAGCATATGTTTTCAATCTCTCACTCATATCATCATTCACATGACATTTAAAAGGTGAAACACATTTCAGTACATCGCCAAAAGGCCTGGGAGGGTCTTAGATGCTACAAAACTGCATTAACTAATTCATATGACACTTACCAGAGAATTCCCTTTTAATGTTGGACAGGTTAGCAGGGCACGAGTTACTGATAGAGATTCCCGGAGGAGGCATGCCTGGGTTACTATACATGTCCAAGAGGTTCGCTGACACGGGGATCTAGAAACACAAGAACGTGTATATTATTGTCTCTTTTTTTTGTTCTTTTTGAAGCTCACTGTGTGGAAAAGAGCAGCATGTGTGTTCTGTCTACGGCATGAGAGTGAGTAAATGAAGACTATTCACTATTCCTCTGCAGACAGCAGTCAGATAGACATTAGATCAGGTGTTGACAGCTGGATCGCACGGCTTTCTGCTATACTGACACCAGCCACAGCTCTGATTGTGTGAGATGACAGAAAGAGACAAAGTCTCACCAAGTTCACTGCTAATATAAAAATACACTCGAGTCACTGTAGTTCTTGAAACTTGTAGACAATGCTGGGGAAAGTTGCTTTTTAAAGTAATGCATTGCAACATTGCGCTACTCCATAAAAAAGTAACTAATTGCATTACTCAGTTACTTTTTATGGAAAGTAATGCATTACGTTACTTTTGCTTTACTTTTTGTCACCTGGGGTGGGCTTGCTTGTTTGTTTTTTAATAACAAAAACCCCAAAAGTTGTATTTTTGGCAACTGTAAAGGCCCTTTCACACCAAAAGTGAAATGAATAAGCCTCAGGCTGAAGGAAGTGTGTCTGCCTCTGCACTTATGCCTAGTTTCTCTCAACATGGGGACAGGAGAGCTGTCAGTGAATAAATGGGAAAACAAAGTAATTTGTGTTACTTACACTATATTGCCAAAAGTATTGGGACACCCCCTTCTAATGAACAGGTTTGACTACTTTAGTAATTTCCATGAGTACAAATCTTAATGTTTAAGCATACAATGATATTCTAGGGAAGCAACAGTTTGGACAGGACCCTTTTCTATTCTAACATGACAATGCCTCTGTTTATAAGGCAAGGTTCAAAAATAAATGATTGATTCAGTCAGTGTGGAACAACTTGACTGGTCTGCAGAAGGCAAAGTCCCAGTCCCAGCTGAACGCAACGAAGATGAAAACATAATTCATGTATTTAAAAATTGCATTTCCATCTCTGTTGCAACAGTTTTGGAAGTGTCTGTACCCATATGTACAAGTCACTGGTGTTTGGTGATGAGTTTTGAATGAGAGGCATTGTCATGTTAGAATAGAAAAGGGTCCTGTCCAAACTGTTGCTTCCCTAGAATATCATTATATGCTTAAACATTAAGATTTGTACTCATGAAAATTACTAAAGTAGCCAAGCCTGCTCATTAGAAGGGGGTGTCCCAATACTTTTGGCAATATAGTGTATTTAAAAAAGTAACTCAGATATTTTCTTGCAAATTTTAAATTAATGCATTACATTACTATTTATTTGAAAAAGTAATCTGATTATGTAACTCGCTTGTAAAGCGCTACCCCCAACACTGCTTGTAGTTTTCGAAATTCTTGATCAGGGTTTAGCTATTTACTTAACTAAACTAAATTATGTAATTATATTAACTGTTTTTTTGTTTTTTACTAATGTTTTGTTTTTTTGCAAGCAAAATAAAACAAATAAATAAAATAATAAATATTTCATTATAGTAACCGTTTCTTTGCAAACAAATTTAACTGAAAACATATTTTGTATTACATTACTACTGTTTTTTGCAAGCAAAATAAAATAAAATAAAACAAAACAAAACAAAACAAAACTTGTTCATTGACCTAGTTTCTGTTTCCCCTTGATTGCCTTAGTTAGTTCACCTGTGTCTAGTTAATTTAGTCATTAGTTCCTCATTAGTTCCTCTTCCGTTTGTATAAATTCCCTTCCTTTAGTTCTCTGGGTTGTTGGTTATTGCGTGTGGTTACCCTTCGTGTGTGGATATTTCCGTCATCTTTCCCCGTGCTTTAAATTATCTCTTGTGGGTCATTTCTCAGCCAAATTTGATGTGCGATTAATATGTGATTAATTAGATTAATTAATTGGCACATTGTGGAATTAATTAGATTAAAATTTAAAAAAAATGACAGCCCTAATATATAGCTCTCTCTCTCTCTCTCTCTCTGTGTGTGTGTGTGCGTTTTTGTGACAAATGAGGACATAAATTTGTATAATGACAAGGGTATGACATAGGTATTACAAGGAGAAGGTGACTTTTCAGGACATTTTATAAATCACACAGAATGGAGTGTATTGAAAATCTGAAATAGCACAAAGTTTCCTGTAAGGGGTAGGTTTAGGGGTAGGGTTGGTGTAGGGCAATAGAATATACGGTCTGTACAGTATAAAAACCATTACGCCTATGGGATGTCCCCACTTTTCACAAAAACAAACCTGTGTGTGTGTATGTGTGTGTGTGTGAGAGAGAGAGAGTGAGAGTGTGAGAGAGAGAGAGAGAGTCCTTCCTTGTTCTTGTAGATTTAATAAATATCTGTTTGGATTATCTTCGTCAGGATAATCTTGTCAGCAAAATTAAATAAATACATATTTCCTTATATTAGCACTGTTTTTTGTTTTTAGCAAGCAAACAATAAAATATAATAAAATAATTAATATTTCTTTTCATTACTTGTTTTTTTGCAAGCAAAATTAATCGCATATTTTATTATATTACTACTGTTGTTTTGGTTTTTGCAAGCAAAATGAAATAAAACAAAACAATATAAGACAATGAATATTGCATTATATTAACTGTTTTTAAGCAAAATGAAATACTACCGTTTTTTGCAAAATAAAAAAAAAAGATAAAAATAGAATATTATATAATACATTTTTATTATATAATACATGATATAATAAAATATTTCATTATATTAAATGTTTTGCAAGAAAAATTAATTATACTGTTACACGGTTTTTTTTTTGTCTTTTTGCAAATAAATAAGTAATACAAATAAATAAATAATGTAATTATATAACTATAAAGGGTTCTTAAAAGCATGAAATAGCGTGATATATTTTTCTATGGTAGTCATTAGCAGGGCCGTACCCACCATTGAGGTCCCCGAGGTCCGGGGCTCGGTATTTTTCCAATAACAGAAGTTGTAAAATAATTACCTCATATTAATTCTGCTTTGGTGCTGCAAGGATAAAAAGCCAAGATAACAGATCTTGTCATCTGAGATGCCTCAGCGGTAGGGGTGTGCGATATATATCGTCAGCGATAACATCTTAATTGTTTTTTTAACGATGTGTGATTTGACATTATTTTGCAAAAACCATTCAAAACAGCCCTACAGAGTGCACGCATACATTACTTGAAGTTTAGACTAGTGCGTGTGCGCATTTAGAGTGTGTTCTTTCACTGCATGATTCAGTCTATTAAAATACATTTAGAATGATCACAAATTCAAGACATGGGGGCAGAAAATTTATATATTTATACCACTTCATATAGTTAATCAATGTCACACAAAGAGTGCCGTTTTTCTCCAAAAATTCACCGGATGGTCGAAACGTTGCAATAAATACTTTTATGGAGCAGTTATATCAGTGTGCAGACATCACGTTTGTTATTTTTCTCCCAAAATTACCATGATTGCAAATGTGATATTGATTTTTTACAACAGCTCAATAAACAAGAAGTTATTTAAAGGCAGGGTATGTGATTTTTCAAAAACACTGTAGAAAACAGATTCGGCCCGAATAGCAAAACAAACTTGTAGCCAATCAGCAATAAGGGGCGTGTCTACTCGTGATGTGGAGGAGAGAGCGTTCAGTGCATGGGACGGACATTAGCCGAGCCGAGCGACAGAAAGATAGAGATGGCAGATAAAAAACAAAAGAGGAAAACGTCTGCGGAACGATAAGGCAAGAAGTAGGACCCATGTAAATATCGGATCAGCTTTCCAGAGAACTCAAGGAGCGGAGGCCTGCGATCGGACGCCGAGGTTGCTTTGTTTCTTCTCAATAGGTGAGTAACACCGTGTCTACAACAGCTAAAGCCTGCCTCCACTGAACGCGATCAAACGACCGTTGAAAACCATTTGAAATGTGTGTCAGCACGTCATAAATAGAACCCGGCAGCAGTTTTCTGTCGGGGATTTGTTGCGCCGCGCCGCTCACGTCCGAAGACACGGTGTAACATTGGTTTTGCTTTGTTTCACAGAACTAATCGTTGCCTGGGTTGCGTACGTATATGTGGGGAGGAGCTATCAAAATAGGGGCAAGACCCTTTTGGGGTAGAGGCGTGTTTGTTTTGGTGATTTCAAATATAAACATTGGCTACCAGAAATCACTTACACTGCCTTTAAGAGGTGGTGTCACGAGCAACAGACTTGCTGTTGAAAAGTGACAAAGATTAGCAGAGCTAAAAGATGCAGCAACAAATTACTCTGCCATTAAGAGACTTACGTTTTAAACACTATATTGCCTGTTTTTGCTCTATTTCGCCAACAAAAATCATTCCAAAAACAGCCACAGCACTGATTTGCATCTCTGAGCAACATGATGGTGTTTCGTTCCTGAATGAATCAACCGTTTAAATGATTCGGTTCAATCGCAACGACTCACTTATTAACAGTGATTTGCTGCCACCTACTGGCGGTTTTAATTTCACATTTCGACTTTTTCCGATTTTTTTCATGTTTTAAAAAATTTCAAATATCAGTATTCAACGTTTTATGTTTAATATATCGAAACGTTATTTATGCATTTGTAATTGCAGGTTAAATGCATTCAAGTCTTGCATTAAACAGTGTGTAAATAATACATCTAAATGCTACTTCAGATGCAGCTTCTGTGTTGATTTAATTTGCTTGGTAACAGCCCAAATGTCTTATTATTTTAATTCACTGATTAAATGTAAGAATTTGACTCAAAAGATAATGGACACTTTTAGAAAAAATGGCTTTATAAAGGTAAAACTGCCCATAAAATGTAAAAAATCAGTTTAAACTTATTGGAAAAGATTAATTTCTATCAGTGTGAAAAAATAAATAAATAATGTTTAATCATTTTAGACACGTGATTTTACTGAAGGCTAAGAAGATAATTATAACTGAGTTTATTAAATTCATAAACTATATCTTCTCTATTTCCAGTTTGTAGCATGGATCATTCATTGCAACATTTAATCCGATTCTCATGTTTAAGAATCTGTTATCTTGAAAAATTATTTAAACTACTACTGCCCACTGACTTGGTTTTAAACCTATTTTATATATATATTTACATATACAGTATGCAAATATGCCTCCTTCCACATACTCATATTAGTAACAGAAGAAAGTATAACAGTGTATATACCGTGTTGGCCATCTGAAGTCCGGGGTCCAACGACAGTCCCATGATATCATCATTGTAACTGGATTCCAAACTAATGATGTCGTCAATGACATCGTCCATCTGAGAAAAATCAAAAGCAATAGATATCATCAGCTGTCAGAGCTCATCCACTCAGCTAGAGTACAACGCATAGTGAAGTCAATTAACCCTGGAATAATGCAAGAGTTCAAATCAACCCATAGCTACGCTGAAAATCACTGGTTAATCTGGCGCACATCCTAAAGAGCTGTGTATTTCCTCTCAGCGTGCCAATGCCAGACTCTGTCTAATCTATTAACACGTGTTTTAGCACATCTCTCTCTCTCTCTCTCTCACACAGTGAGCAGTGACGCAATCCACGCCAGCTGCTTCAGCGAGACGTTCACAGAGACGCAAACCGTGGGGCTGGAGTCGCTTTTACTGATTAGCAGGTAATGAGCTCTAAAATGACATCCTTATAATGTCTCTACCTATTTATACATCATTTACTGATGTCGCTGGATTTGTGCTGTGCTCTTGGCGAACCTGCCATGATCCTGTCTCCTCTGTCTAGTCTTGTTTATGGCGTGCATGTTTTGTTCTTGTCTTTGTGTTGAGCACATGCTTTCTGTTTTGCTCATTTGCCATGTGCTCATTATTACATCTTTGGCTCATTTTTAGCCTCCTCATGTCCTACCCTTTATATTCTCCCTGTGTGTTTTGTCCTGGCCTGGTTTGTCTTCTCAGTCCCGTCGGTCAGTCTTGCTGTAGTCTAGCTGGAATAAACACTACCAAAGGGCCTTTTGGTTTGGCTGTGATCTATTATATGTTTATGCCCAGTTTTGTGGTAGATTTAGGTATTGTTGTTTTCAATAAACATCACAAAATCAAGCACTTTCAACGCTTTCAGTGCTCTTTCAGCACTTGAGTTCAGTCTTAAATCCTGACAGAACCTTATATAGAGCATGTCTGGGTCATTTTTTAATAACGAAAATATTTTGTAACATCTTTGCATTGTGACTCTTTTCATGACAGTTCAAGGATTCATTATTTTTTTTACGGTCCACTTATAAATGCCAGTAATTTTTTTTACCTTAAATATTTTGCAAAATATATATTTTGTTTATTTTCTCTTTTGGTTCGCTTACTATTAAATACGGTGATATTTCACTTGAATGGTTTCTAAAAAATAATGGCTCCATTAGTATAATTAATTTTCTACAATTTTCATTTATTTGATACAAATTTCAGTTATTTGATATTTATATCTGATATTTATAAATTTCATGTAGTAACTAGTGCTGTCAAACAATTAATCGCGATTAATCACATCCAAAATAAAAGTATTTGTTTACATAATATGTGTGTGTACTGTGTATATTTATTATGTATATATAAATACACACACATGCATGTATATATTTCAGAAAAATAAGTTGTTTATATTTTAAATATATTAAATATATTAAATATATGATGTGAATATAAATATATACATGTATATATTTTCAAAATATATACTGTATGTGTATTTATATATACATAATAAATATACACAGTACACACACATACAGTGTATTATGTAAACAAAAACTTTTAATCTGGATGTGATTAATCGTGATTAATCGTTTGACAGCACTAGTATTTATACTTTTTACTTTTATTCCATAAAAAAATTGAGATTTTTTATGTTAAATATTTTGCAAAATATATATTTTGTTTATTTTCTCTTTTGGTTTGCTCGATTTGGTTCATCTGGTTCAATTTTCTTCAGAAATATCATGTTATATCCACTAAAAGTATAAATAATATATTATAATCTCACACATATATTTTGTGCACTCAGTTTTTCAGTTTGCTTGAAATTGCATGTAAGTTACTTAACAGTTTTTACAATGTCTGCTTTATGAATTGATGATTCTTGAGTTCAAGTAAGTCATTTACATATATTGAATTTATTTTTAAAAATAGGTATTACACCTGTTGTACAATATGTTTTTTTGTTTGTTTCTTTGTTTGTTTGATTGTTTTAGAAAAAAAAAACTGATTTTGGATAAATGGATAAACTGGATAAATGTCCTCTTGATTTCTTCTGTATTTGAACATTCTATATCCCCAATGACCTGCTGTCAAGGAGTATATTAGTTGTCCATCAACTATGCTGAATGCATTGTTATGGTTTATGATATTTTTATGACTTCAGTTCAAAGTGATGAAACTGTCAAACTATGTTCTGATAGAATACATAAACTGAAACCAACAGTTGTTTTATTGAGAAACCATACTGTTTTTACACTTTCCTGATGTGTACCCTATAGACTTGTGCCGGTATTCGGTAATGCGATATATCACGGTAATGAATATGCACGATATTGTTATCGTGGGCACTTCTAAATACCGTGAATAATTATATATAACAAATTATTCAGAATTTTGAATGCATTTTAAGAATACTTTTCCCATAAACTGGTCAAATTAATCGCAACATGAAAATTTGATACCGGCATATCCCTAGTACCCTAAATAGAATGACTCTAATATAGTAACAACATTAAAATAAAGTATAACCCTCAGTATACATGTGGAAAATCATGAATTCATATAAATACAATTTATAAATATCAGATATAAATAAATCTGATTAATAAATATCAGATATAAATATCAAATTGCTTTGTAAAAATTGGACAAAGTTTTACAACAATTATACTAATGTAGCAATTATGTTTAGAAAGCGCTGAAGTGGAATATGACAGTGTTTTATCATCACCTCTTTCTCGCAGTTGGAGTTGAGGGTCAGTAAGGCCATGGGACTGTTGGGGGCGCTGTTGCCCGGCCCCGGAGGCATTCCCCCGTGGTCAAGGGCCTGGCTGGGGCAAGGCAAGCTCACGGCCTGCGAGCCCAGCTTTCCTCCCACCGTGGTGGACAGATACGCCTTCACCTGCTGCCTCTGAGCCTGCTGGATGTGATACTTCGTGGGGTTTTCAAGATGCGTTTGAACCTTCAGACAGACAGAGAGAGAGAGAGAGAGAGAGAGAGAGAGAGAGAGTCAGAGTCAGAATCACAGACAGGAAATAATCACACATCACACATGATGAGGAAGTACCATGTAACACATTTAAAACTACAAAACTACATTCTAATTCATTTTGCTGTTGCTTATGTAAACTCTTACTGTTTTTTTCTGAGGTCGTTACATTATATTTGTGAAATAAAACAAACACACTGAACCACACAATTTAAAAAATAAATAAATAAATAAATCTAAGATCCACTTATTAATGTCAGTACATTTTTGCACTTAAAAATGCATTAACATTTTGTAAAAATAGACTTTATTTTCTTTAGGTAAAATATTTTATGAAATAAAATGGTTATATTTTAAATAGTAAATGGTAAAATATTTTATGAAATAATTTTTGGTTATTTTCTCTATTGGTGCTGTTATGTAAATTGTTTCTGTTTTGCCGTTTTTGTTGTTTCTGTTGTGAAATAAAATAGACACTCTGAACCATACCAAATTAATTAATTAATTAATTTCTAGATCTAAACATTACAGACAACCAGAAAAGGGTAAAATGTCTAAAAATGTTCCAACTTTTCACCCTTAAAACCATGTAAACATAATAATTCACTATTTATAAAAAAATATATTTATTTTTAATAATGTATTTTATGATATTACTTAACAACAACAACAATAATAATAATATAATTATTATTTACAATAAAAAAACTAAAAACAATAACCTGAACCATTTTATCCCACTTCCAAGAATTCTGTAATCACTGTTCCTTCGTCAAATCAGTAATAATTACTGTAATTTTCCAAAATAGCCTCCCATTCTATTCATAGCTCAGTTATTCATCTCTTAAGAGTCCTCAAGTTCCTCCTCCACATGAGCCTTGCAAACATAATGACCTTTACACTCAAGAGGTCACGACTCAAACCACACAAGTGTGCAGGACAAACAGGACAAGCCCTAGAGTACAATGGTGAGAATGAATCCTCAATTATTTGATCAACTGAAGCGAGTATCTATTAAATTGACTTGACCAATAAAGAATGCAGCTGGTTGTGCCTAAAAAGGGGTGAATAACTGATTAGCTTTGCCTGTTGGACAATTAACACAAGACACAACAACACTACTGAACTTGTGCTGTTTTATGTCAAAATATGCCTTTATGGAGCAACTGTGACGTCAATGTGAGGTTGAAACAATGGAGTCTTTCTGCGGCTCATAGTGGCTCCAGCAGCAAACGTCTCCCACCTCCGTCCTGTGAACAGAAGAGAGGCTCTGCCTGCCTCATTCAGATCTCAGCGCTGCAAACGTGAGAAAGACTGACGAAACACGCGCGTGATCTTTCACAGCTCAACCGTCACTTACATTTCCAGCTGTTCTCTGAGGAACGATAAAGTATGCATGACTAAACCGAATGTGAACCTCATAACTGCTCTGAAAACAGCGTCCAGTGTCTTCTAATATGAAGGAATTTCTGTTCGGATTTTTCACAGGTGTTTTACCTGCATTTTGAATATTTTTAATTGTGTGTTGTATTGTTTTGTGTTTATGGGTGAAAGGAAATGTCTATAAACTGGCAGAAAATTACTCGTATCTTTTCCATTTTTCTACAGATTTTGTTCTTTCAGTGTGGGCACCACCGACTATCACTGTACCAAACACACACAAGACATTTTTCAAAATACTGTATCTTCTTTCATGTTCCACAGAAGAAAGAAAGTCCTTCAGTTTGGATCGACATGAGGGTGAGTAGATGATGACAGAATCAGCATTTTTGAGTGAACTTTCCCTTTAAACACTTTAGTATAGGAACCAATTCTCACTATTAACTAGTTGCTTAATAGCATGTCTATTATTAACATATTGGCTGTTTATTAGTGCTTATAAAGCACTATCTTTTCTTATGTTTCTAGTTCTAATGCATCCAGGGAGCAGAATATCTTATAGACTTAGAGGTTGACTTTTTAGACTTGGGACAGTAAGCGGCCACCTAGCAACCAGCAAAAGCACTAGCAATCACATAGCAACACTGAGAACCAATGAAAACCAGAACAATATAGCATGCCGTTGAGCTTGTCATAACAAAAATTTAGTTGTTTAACTAGTTGCTTAAATTATAAGATTGTATGATCTCTAAGAAACAGAGAATTAGCAATAAATAAAGACAACTATGACTTTTGCCTCAGTAAACTCCTAATTTGCTGCATATTAATAGTTAGTAATGTAGTTGTTAAAGGAATAGTTCACCCAGAAATGAAAATTCTGTCATTAATTAATCACCCTCATGTCGTTCCAAACCTTTAAGACCTTCGTTCATCTTTTGAACAGAAATTAAGATATTTTTGATGGAATCTGAGCGCTTTCGGATCCTGCATAGACAACAAGGATATTACCACGATCAACGCACAGAAACGTAGCAAGGCCTTAAACTTGAGTTTAGGTATGGGGTAGGGTTAAGTGATGTACAATATGGCCATGCAGAATAAGGCATTAATATGTGTTTTATAAGTACTAATAAACAGCTAATATGCTAGTAATATGCATGCTAGTTAATAGAGCGTTGGTTCTTAAAGTGTTACCACAATTCAAATATAGTAATTTATCAAGCAACATTTTATTGAAACTAAAAATTTTATAGAATTATAAAATGTAATACATTATATTTTATAACATATTCACATAGAAAACAGTTATAATAATATTTCATAATTTTACTTTTTTTCAAATAAATGTAGCATTGGTGTACATAAGAGACCTCTTGGGACAGACCTTCCATCTTTTCTCTTGAAATAAGAGGGGTTTATTCTCAACATGGCCTGAAGGGATGGACTGGAGTCAGAGGTTGAGGAAGTCAACGTTTCAACCATAAAGCTATAACAATTCTACCCTAAGGCAAGAATTGAGCAGAGCACATTCAAAGCACTCTTTAAATCGATGTGCTGTGCTATATATGCATACTTCTGAATGCCATTCATAAACAATCATGAGACTTTATGAATGACTTCAATGGCAAATGGCCATTTACAGCTTTGGTTGAACCAATGCAACTCAACACATCCCTCCATTAACCACAGCTTACTGAATGCTCTGTGTAGTGCTGCTAATAAAGCCATCGGGGATAAATAAAGCTTTCTAGACTTAAAAAAGAGCAGCTTCTAGAAGTAGTACAGCATTGTGAAATTGATGACATTAAGGATAAGGAAGTCCGAGTTAATTAATGCGCTTTTGTTGTATTTTGGGGTACCTGATGCAACCGCTGAAACTGCTAGGGAAGATATAAGGAAAGAATGTGAAGCTATTAGGAAGAGTAAGGAGCAGGAGTTGGAAAATGAATGCGTGAGGTTGGAGCTTGAACGTGATCGAGTAAACCAGCTAAATAGACAGAGACAGAGGGACCATGAGGTAAGATTTGATATAAAGTGTTTTGCACTTATGCCTCGATTTCACGTGGATGCAGCTGATGTATTTTTGAAGCGTTTGAAAGAATTGCGGCAGAAAGAGATTGGCCACAATCTGAGTGGGTCACTTTAGTTAGGAGGGAGTTTGTTGATAAAGCCCAAGAGGCGTATGTAGCCCTGGATGCTGTGCAATGTACAGAGTACGAAACTGTGAAAAAGGCCATTTTGCGGGCCTATGAATTGGTGCCTGAGGCCTATAGGCAGCAGTTTCGGAAAGGTAGGTTAAAGTCAGGCCAGATTTCGCTAGGCAACAGGAAATACTTTTTGATAAATGGCTCCGGGCAACAGAAACTTATTCCTTTCAAGAGTTAAAACAGTTAATGGTAATGGAGCAATTTAAAAATTGTTTACCCAAACATCTGGCAGTGCACCTGAATGAGCAGGAAGTAACTGAGGTTTCGCGCAGCAGCGAAAATGGCAGACAATTATGTCTTAGTGCATCAGGAGCCATGGATTGCAGACAGAAAACTGGTCTCTCCAAGGCAGTTTGAGGAAAGAGTCAAGAGAGAAGGTAAGAGTGAGAGAGGAACTGCGAAGCCCCAGGAGAGTAATAGAGCCCCCTAGGGATGTCATTTGTCATTACTGTAAAAAGCCTGGGCATATTAAGCCCCGGTGCCCCGCCTTACAGCAGGGGAGGAAAAACCTTCCTGTTGCTCTTGTACTGGAATGAGGCTGTAGAATAGAGGATGTGTGTGAAAACTCTAAATTAGGGGTAGAATCATCAGTCTATAAGAGTTTTATCTCTGAGGGTTTTGTTTCCATTTCTGAGGGTGAGCTGGAAGTTCCTGTGACCCTTCTCCGAGACAAGGGGGCGGCCCAGTCACTGATACTTAAGGATGTCATTGATTTACCACCTTATACTGCGGAAGAAACCTCAGTTTTGATTGAGGGTGTTGGAGGAGAGTATAGGTCGGTGCCTTTACACAGGGTGTTTTTTAAGTCTAGTTTGGTCACAGGAAATGTCATTATAGGAGTTTTGTCTTCCTTGCCTGTTAAAGGAGTTGGTCTGTTGCTAGGTAATGACTGGGGATCAGGTTTTTAGTTCTCCCATTGTTAGTTCAGTCCCTTGTGAGGTCCCTACCCTGGTGGCGTTAGAAAAGGAATATCCTGAAGTATTCTCAGCTTGTGCTGTTACTCGCTCACGGTCTCAGCAGGTGGCTTTGGAGTCTGAGGGGAAACCAGAGATAGGACCGGAATTGGCAGTAAACGGGGCCCCTCAGTCTAAAGAGAGCCCCGTAAACCTGGGTAATACCTTGTTCTCCCACTTATTTGTTGGGGTGAGTAGTAAAAAGTTCAGTAAGGATGCTCTGGTTGAGGCTCAGAGGAATGATCCAGGGTTAGGTCCATTGCGAGAAACTGCTGTTTCTTGGGCCGAGAGCAAGGATATAGCAGAAGGTGTATACTGGAGGGATGGGGTTTTGTCTAAAAATGAGACCACCTTGTTACAGTATATGACTGCTTTTCAAGAGCGTCTCTGGTCTGCTTGTAAAATCGCAAGGGAGTCACTGGGTAGGGCTCAGACCCATATGAAAGCCCATTATGATAAAAAGGCAGTAGAACGTACCTTTATGGTGGGAGATCAAGTGCTTGTGTTGACACCAATGCAGGGGGACAGACTCAGTAGTAAGTTTTGTGGACCTTATTCTGTGTTGAAAAAGGTTGGGGACCGAAATTATGTGATTAGTACCTCTGATCGTCGGCAGAAAACAAGGTTGTGCCATGTCAACCTTTTGAAGCCGTATCACGTACGGGGAAAGGTGGCTGTGGCCGCAATTTCAGTTGGTCCCTCATCCAGATACGTCTGTGGATGTTTCAATGAAGCCATCTAACATTCATCCCTTACAGGAAGAGGATGTAAAGGTGGAGCCCATTGGCGTTCGTCTTAGGAATTGTACCTATTTGCAGGATCTTTCCATGCGGCTTGAACATTTGTCTTCCGAACAGCGGGCAGAGGTTGAGGGCTTGGTAAATGAGTTTCCAGAGTTGTTTAGGGATACCCCTGGCCTTACAACTTTAGCAGTGCATGATGTAGAAACGGGAGATGCAGCCCCTATAAAACAACACCCCTATCGGCTGTCGCTTAATAAGTTGGGTTTAATGAAGCAAAAAATTTCATATATGGAGAAAATCGGAGTTATTGAGCAAGGACAGAGTGAGTGGAGTTCCCCTGTTGTTCTCGTTCCGAAGCCCGATGGAACTCTTAGATTTTGTATAGATTATAGAAAAGTTAATCGGGTTACAAAAACTGACGCCTTTCCTATACCACGACTAGAGGATTGCATTGATCGAATTAGCAATGCCCAGGTTATTTCCAAATTAGATCTATTAAAAGAGTATTGGCAGGTGCCATTATCAGAACGGGCGAAAGAAGTCTCTGCCTTTGTGACACCTGACACCCTATACTTTTGTAAGTTTCTTCCTTTTGGAATGAAAAACGCACCTGCCACCTTTCAAAGACTAATGAATCCAGTCACTACTGGTCTCCCAAATGTGGTTATGTATATAGATGATGTTGTGGTATACAGCGCCTCATGGTCTGAGCATTTGCAGGATCATAAAGCTCAGCTGGTTATTAATTTACCAAAGTGTGAGCTGGGAAAGGGCCAGGCTACTTATTTGGGGCATGAAGTAGGGCAAGGAAAGGTGATGCCTAGTCAAGCCAAAGTAAGAGCCATTCTGGTGCTCCCCAGTCCACGGACTTGTCGAGAGTTAATGTGGGTGCTTGGGATGTGTGGGTTCTATAGGCGGTTTGTGCCAAATTTCGCCAGAATAGCGGAACCTTTAAAGGGGGGTACAATGCTGTTTCATGCTTTCAGAGTTGTTTACACTGTTAAAGAGTTGGATTCTCATGCCAAGCATGGACAAAGTTTCAAAAAACAATTTGGACGTATGACAGAGTATTTCTGTTCCAAAAATCTTACTTCCGGGTTCGTACAAGTTTCAGAGGGTTTTTTTCGATCGTGGCTCTTAATGACGTAAACGAGGGTGGAACTCCTTATATGGGCAGCAACGGAGTGTCAGTTTTTGTGTTTGTTGACGAACGTTTTATAAACAAGGTCCAGTTCGACTCTGGATTTGCACATTGTTTGATACTGAAAGATGGAGCGGTCCTCGTTATGTAAACAGTGGATACAGTTTGTTTTTCTGGAGCAGTCAAGGAGTTTCACAAGTGTGTTTGTTGACGAACCTTTTATAAACAAGGCCCAGTTCGACGCTGGATTTGCACATCGTTTGATACTGAAAGATGGAGCGGTCCCAGCTATAAAAGATCCCGGTCATGATTCAGAACTGCAGATTGTAAGTGAAACGGCATCAGATGTCTGTGTTTTGTTGGCAACCGGCGCTCAAGTGCTCGTCACTCTTTAGCTCCGCCCACGGCGCGCCTCCAGGAGCTCGGCTTTTTCCGGAGAGAATCGTAAAGCTGTATCTTTCTTTCATACATATGATCAAACTAAATACTTTTTGGAGATATGAAGGATGCAGTACTACTCTATAGGTACTCAAGATTAACATGAGATTGGGTGAAACTGTGT